TTACAATATATACAGCACTTGCATGAAATTTCTCTTGTGACTTGAAAACTCTAAACACTCTAATGGTGCAGAATTATCTACTTATGTCTGACAGATTTCAAATACTGGACAATTAGTTCTCTAGGTTCCCATGTACCTATATATTAACATAGCTACATTCAGGGGCTCTTTATACTTACACATACATGGTGCAATCCAAAAGTTCACGAAATTTGAATTCTGCATGCGAATTGTTATGAGTACATTGAAATACTGCTAGGTGTCTCCCCACACCCTTCTTGAATCAGTGTGGCAAGCAGCGTTGAGTTGAGTGGTTGGGATCCATGATATGTATGTAATGGCCGTCTTGTAGTGCACTCAATTTAACATGTCACTTTGCTACATGTTTCGGCAACATTGTGCCATCTTCAGGTGCTTTATTTATGCTAAGCTATTGCATTGCTTGCCATCAAGTGTCTTTCATAAAATTATTAAAATGTACATTCTTCATCAACTATAATAAAATTTGTATACACTAAAACTAGTAAAGATTATTCATCTTATACGTCTTAATTCAAACTCGCATGTTGTATGGTTCTTCGACTATGGGAGTCGTTTTTCATATATTTTTTGTGTACTGTATCTTGTGATTATGAGTGGTTGGGTTTATTGTTGGTGAATGTATTTCCATTGTTGTGTTTCTGTGAGTTTGCAGTTTTGCTATGGCTAACCTGAGAGAGCAGCGTGTCTGTATGAAGTTTTGTTTTAAACTTGGGAAAACCGCTGCAGAAACGCACCAATGTTGAAGCAATCTTTTGGTGACAACAGTTTAGGCCAGACACAAACTTATGACTGGTATAAGCATTTAAAAAATGGCCGAACATCAACTGATGATGATGATCTTTCGGTACGGCCAACGAACTGGCACCACACCAGAAAATGTCACGAAAGTTAGCGATCTGATTCTGCAAGATCGTAGACTGACCATCCAAGACCTCTGTAACACCTTGGGACTAAGTTGTGGTACAGGTCAACGAATTTTATCAGAGGAACTGAACAAGAGGATTGCAGTGAAGTTTGTGCCACAACTGCTGCAAAATGAACAGAAGCAGCATCGCTTGGAAGTCTGCAAGGAACTTCAACAACAGCTTCAAGAGGATCCAAACTTTCTTTCGAAGGTTGTCACTGGTGACGAAAGTTGGGTTTATGGCTATGACCCTGAAAGTAAGCAGCAGTCGTCACAATGGAAGAGCCCTTCTTCACCTCGTCCAAAAAAGCTGAACAAGTCAAGAGCAATATTAAGTCCATATTGATCTGTTTTTGTATACTGGTGGGATTATTCATAAGGAATTCATCCCTCCTGGTCAGACAGTCAATAAAGAGTTCTATCGTGATGTTCTAAGGCATTTGAGGGAGGACACAGAAGGGTATAACACTGCCATTTGTTGATGACAAGATGAAATACTAGCATAATCTAAGCACAACCCCAAAACATTTTAGAGATGGTGTATGCCTGTTTGGACAGAGTGACTAATCAAGTATCAGAGACGGTGTTAATCAACGGGGGGCTAATCAATGGCACAACCATGCAAAACAATTTATTTTCAAAACTCTTCTTCTTATCTTGAATGAGGGAGTCCTAGTGGTATGCGTAATTTAATATTTGCATAACAACTCAGCAATTCTTGCTCTGCTTGCCACCTGCTTTCATTTTGGTTTCAAGTGTGGCTTATTCTTTGATCCTGAAGATGGAAGCAATAAGTTCCTCTGAAATATCAGATGACTTTCAGCATACTACAGTGTATTATATACCAGAAGACAGAGCTCTTAAACTAAGCAATTCTGGTATATGCTGTAGCATTACTTGGTAGTGAAAAGGTTAACCATGCTCATGAAAATGTGCCTCAAAAATGAATAATAAACACAGCATGATAAAAAAATGAAGAGATAAAGAAAAAGATAACATTCGCTAGTACTCACCAATGTTGGGTCTACATCTGTGATGTCCAGATACCTGTTGTAGATCTGATGTACCTTTTCATATTTAAGTCGACCTTCTTCAAAATCTGCATAAGCAAAATACAAGAGCATGTTCTTCTTCAGCAGTGATGCAGTTGCACGTTCATACACTGCAGCAGCCTCATCACTGAACAGCTTAGCAGCATTCACATCCTGAAGACAAAAATTTGTTGCTCAGAAACAGCAACCAGTGCACCTAGCACCTACAAGGACTGTCCAAATAGCAAGAGATAATTCTTAAGGGAAAAAGAAGGTCCTGCAGACCACATAAAAATGGAGTTAGCCACATTCTAAACAAAACAGACTGTTTGCATAGAAACAAAGGAGCAGAATTCTGGGCAAGGTTTCAAAGACCTTGTTTTTTAAGGAAGGCATAAGTGGAGTGTTAATGACCTGGAAACTCTATCAGGTATATTGAAAAAGCAACCAAAATTTGCCACCATCTTTAAAGTTAAGCTAAATATTGGTGTAACAGTGTAACTCACCCCCTTCTCAGTGAGTAGCTTGGAACTTTGCTCAAGGAACTGTGCTGCCTCATACCAGATGTCAGGGTGGTGACCAAGACACAAGAGGCACTGCTCAAATGCAAACATCACACGACGAGTGATTAGCGTTGCATCCTCTGTACGAAGAGGGTTTGACTTCTCCCATGAGATATACTTCTTCCAAAGGTCTACCTGTAATTTGTAAAAGAAATAAATTTCAGACATAAATAGAGACTTAATTTGCAGAAAGAACAGAACGTAGCAAAAGCTTTTTACAGCAAAGAAGTCTAATGAATTTCTAATGGAAACAGAGTGCACTTGGATCATGTCATCTTGCTTGTATTCAAATTGCTTGATTACGTATCAAGATCCCCCCCCCCTCTGGAAAGTTCTGCAGATGATAAACACTGAGGATGCACACTAAAACTCTAGAGCTTTCACTACAGGTGATGTGCCTGTAAAAGTAACTGTCAAGTTCTTGCAAGCTCTCAGTTCAGTGCACAAAAGAGATGAATGAATAGTGAGTCAATCCATGCTCAGTCAATTCAGTGCAACACAGAGCAAATGAGTGAGAAGTGAGTCAATCAGTATTCAGTTAGTCAGTGAGTCAGTTAGTTAATGATCTGTCAGTTATAAAGTTTTCCAGTTCTCAGTCCAGTGCAGTACAGAGAAGTCAAGAGAAGAGGTGAGTACATTGAATGAGCAGTAGCACTGCTGTGAAGTAATGAGAGAACAGAAATCTGATCTCAAGATCATAAATGGATATGGATCTATATGTAATAATACAAATGCTGTCGTGAATGCAACAATTTATTTGGTTGTAGTTCTTTGGCTTTTCTTCCTCTACACTACATGTTTCGGCCGCAACGGGCCATCATCAGGTGTATTTTTCACTACATAGCTGTCACACTGCACACAATCTAAAATCTAAAACACCAGCCTGTCAGTTTTGTTTAAAATCTCGCCAACATATGCTTGTCAATTTGATTTTAGAATTCTAGTAACACTCAGGGGTAACACTATTGGTACTGAAAAAATACAAACTCAGGCAGCTTCACTGTACACATGTGCTGTTACAAAAGTCCTCCACATAATAAATGAAGGCTAAATTCAGCTGGTGTCATAGGTGACCTACATTCAAATCAAACATCATCAAATTTCTATAAAATAGCACATAACTAAAAAGAATTGGTACAATATATGTGAAGTTGCCAAGCTCATCTCCATCATTTTGTGAGGTTAGTAATGTATGGAGCTTAACACCCATTCCCCAAATATCTTTTAACATGCACACACAAAGGATCACAAGACTTAAACTCTATTGTATAAATTTCTTGTCCTCTAGATCTACTGCTGGTATTACTGTTACTTTATTTCAGTTTTGTGAAGAACATATTATTTAAGTACAAATGTTATCTACATTAAATTTTGCAGCTACAACCCCAAAGTTTCACACAACTGCCACGTTTGTTATTGCTGACTTAGAAATAATATTTCATATGCAAGGCGTAGATATGTTTAATATGTATCTAGCTTGATATAAAATTTCAGGACCCTCAATTATATGGCACTAGTACTACCCCCACCTGCATCTGCCACATTGTGGGGTGGCCTCCAGTGGCACAAGAATTATGCCACATTTCACAAAAATCAGCCAACGTGCACGCACACACGCATGCATGCGCACACACACACGCATGCATGCGCACACACACACACACACACATACACAAAGACAGCATTATCATCTCACAAGCCTACATTCTTCCCTCAAGAAATGAAAGCAAACAAAACAATATGAATACTATTCACAATGGAAATAGAACTGATTCTATGTCACTAACCTTTAACAAGTGCTGCCAGATTTACAGTACTACATTCTACATGAATTCCAATATCTCTCAAGGATACTTATTGTTTCAGGAACATTGAAAAGGAACACATGGTGAAATCAGGCAAATGAAATGGATGTTTCAACACTGGTGTTTCCTTTTGCAGAAAAATCACTTTAACAAATGTGCTATGTGGAGAGGTGCACTGTCATGATGCAAAATTCATTTATATGGCTAAAGATATCATCTTTTTCGAGAACAATGCTACCACAAATATTCCAGAACTTATAGATGCTTGGTTGACTGTTTTAGAGGAACAAATTCATATTGGATAATTTCTTCAATATACAAATGCAATCATGGTTTTAACCTAAGATTTTGACATTCACATATATCTCAGTCTCAGAGACTTTGGATTTTACCATTGGAGAAACTAGCATTTTATTTTTGCCTCATACATAGTCTCATGACTTCAAAAAATCAAATTCTTCCATTAGTACTGCTAAAGATCTCACAAAAAAAAAACATTTATCCTCATTTATCTCATTACACTTTCTTTGTATTCAGATCTTGTTCACAATAAATCTCAGTTTCTCTGTTCATGTACAATTCTTCTGCTATTTTCTGAACAGGAATTTAACAATATTTTTTCATCAGTTTTTGTAACTTCTTTGACATTTGGATTGCTTACTGAAGTTACTAGACGGCAAAATCCTACAAACTCTGCATGTCTCCTCATCTGCTTTGATATTGCTTAACCTACATAAGAACCTGTGTTCTACTCATAGTTCCCTCTCTGTGTAAACTTTCCATAATATTCTGTAAATCATGGCTGAATTTTTCTCCAGTTTCAATACAAATTTAATGTTGCTTCTATATCCTAACAGCATATTACCCATGTTTCTGACAGAAAACCAAAGCACTGCATTAATTATGTTTATTGAAAACACAAAACAAACTGAAACCCAACAATTGACTGAAACAAAATTGCTCAATAAATTTAGCCACACAATCAAAACCACATCAAATTTCCAGTGCTGTCAGCTGCAGCTCAAAAACATAAGTATGCTTATTTAATTGTCAGATTTTGCAAAAGTGTACCTATCTATATTACTGTTAATAACAAAAATCTTTTATATTGCATGTAACAGAATTCATTAGCAGCAAATATGTACAGATTGTGGCCTACCGTGTGTGATGCTTAATGCCTACCAGATATAAACAATAAGTATACCTGTTTCAGTTCCTCTGGATGTCCTGTTGGTGGAACACTGGGGCTATTCCTGTTCAGTCCCCGAGTGACTGCTTCGAACTCCTTGGCTACTCGCCGAGCACTCATGTAGTCCCTACTCCTCTCCATAGCCATTTTCTCTGCAATGATTGGGTTGATGTTCTGTTCAAAGTTCATGTAGTCCTTCCACAGTTGCTCAATATTAACCATGGGGTTGATCACACCTCGTTGGTACACCTTCACATAAACAAAGAATCTTGAAAAAATGAAGTTATTTTTTTTGTAACATAACTCTCTTTATATGTATATGGGAACAATTATGAGGAAAGCAATGACATTCATATGAAAATAAGAGAAAAATATGTATATAGGAAATGCTTGCTACTACTCAGTTACAAAAAATTGTAATTTCATCCACTTTACAGAATATTATAAACCAAGATAAACACACATATGGCAATGCATGTGCATGCATACACATCATCATTTTGTCAGTTCTTCTGTATAAGTGGAAATGAAGCCTCTTATTCTAGGTAGAATATAAACTTAAAATGCTTTAAAACAAAGAAAGTGGTATGGGAAATACCCAGGCCCATGAGTGATGAAGGAAGTGCTGAATGTAGCACATATAATGAGTAATTCTGTATGTCATAGGCCCACAGCCCTTTTAGTACTGGCAGGGAAGTAAAATCAAAGAGAATAAGATGAGCTAAACGTGTAGCTTGAATAAATATAGTGTCACCCAAACCTAATGATACTGCATGCATGATAGACAAGGCTGCTATGGCAGTGAAAAAGTATTGGTTTATACTTTGTGGATGCAGTTTGAAACCCTACTACTAATTTATTTTAATTTCATGCATAACATTAAATTTCTTCTGATCTCTACACGTAAATATTGTGAAGAAAAAATTTAATTCAATTACATGTTCATTTTAATTTCTCATAATTTCTATTCTTAAATATTGTCATGTAAAACATTTCCTTATGGATGAGATTCAGTCATCATTACCTCTTTAGTAAAGGAAGCAGTTCATGGTTCCCACATAATCATACCTAAATAAGAATTTCAGAGCTGGTATGCCCCAGACGATATAGTGATGGGCTATGGACCAGACAGGCTGGGTTCAATTCCTGGCAGTGCAAGATTTCTCTATTCTCCATGCTGTCCAGACCAATTCTGGGGCTCGCCCAGCATCCTATCCAATGGGTGCTGGGAGACTCTTTCTCCAGAGGTAAAGTGGCAAGGCATGAAGCTGACCACTCACCTCCATCTAGTGCCAAGATCAAGAAAGGTGGAGGTATACCTCCCCTCCCCCATGTCTTCATGGAATAGTGCTAAACTAATTAAGCACAGGGACAACTTTACCTTACCTTCCACATAAACATTTTCATGTGGACGAAATTACTTATTTCTTGAGAAACCAATGCTCCTTTCTGACCCATTTCCATCACTATATATCATCACTTTTCTTTGCCAGAAACATATATATGTGCATGTATTCATTACATTAATTCTTATGGCATGTGTTACTGTCTGAAGTGCCCAGTGCTTAAGTCAATAGTTGCAGAATTTCATAAACATATGTGATAATGGATTTTTCAGTGTAGTTCCAATGCCAGAGACAGGGAACTTCATTTAAATGTATCACATTTTTACTAAGGAAGCGAATATGTGATGGCCATGCATTAATTAATAATAAATACAGTATTTCAGTACTATTCATTCTTGAAGATTTTAGCTACTACATACTGTGATATGACAAGGAAAGCAACCATGTCCTAAACAAATAATGGACACTTTTGTTAGTAATATATTGTATCGTGTTTCGTGGGTCACGCTACAAATAAGTTCACGCCGTTGTCCCAATATAGCGAATTTATTCCTTTCGCTCATTTACACACACTTTACAAACATTTACACTTGCAGTGTTACAATCACTGCTTACAATATTCGGGCGATGCTGGACCCAGACGGATATTCCGAAGCTTCTTCTTCGAGGCCTGTTCTGAGACTCACTGTTCCTCGCTGAAGCTGGGCTACTTATAACCTTGGCTGCTGATAGGTAACGAACCCTCTGTTATAACCATGGAGACGTTGCTTTGTTTGTCGTTACCGTGGAGATTCGATGTTCTCGATACAACAGCTCACTGTTGGAATTACAGTATCGCTATTGTTACTTCTTATGCAATGGTCTGTTCTAGCGTTTCCATAGAAGTGACTTCTGGATTCCAGACACGTTACAATATATATATTGTTCTAACAGGAGTCTCCTTTGTTATAACAGTGGAAACGTCGCATTGTTGGCTCCGCGTTTCCTACGCAATAACCCATTGTTATAACCATGGAGACGTTGCTTTGTTTGTCGTTACCGTGGAGATTCGATGTTCTCGATACAACAGCTCACTGTTGGAATTACAGTATCGCTATTGTTACTTCTTATGCAATGGTCTGTTCTAGCGTTTCCATAGAAGTGACTTCTGGATTCCAGACACGTTACAATATATATATTGTTCTAACAGGAGTCTCCTTTGTTATAACAGTGGAAACGTCGCATTGTTGGCTCCGCGTTTCCTACGCAATAACCCATTGTCATAACCATGGAGACGTTGCTTTGTTTGTTCAGCGTTTCCTACGCAATGACCCATTGTTATTGCGTTGTCTCTGTGGGAACGCTACGCTTGTTTGTCGTAACCGTGGAGATTCGGTGTNAGAAAGTTTACATAATCGTTCCATATGGAGTAAGACTGGATGTCCATCCCAATCTTTTCCAGGGCAAAGTCATATGCTTGAGCCATCTTCTCCCTATAAAGGAAATGGAACATTTTCAAATGCTTTGCAACTGCTCAGATTGTACACACAGAAATACTATTATGATTATGAATGGAGATTCAAAATGATGGATAGGAAAAGCAGTAATGGAATGTATTATAGAACAATTGCATATGGATGGACTGGGGAAAACAGAAAAACATCACTAAGGTCAGCTGTTCATTACTGGAATTTAAACTGAATATCTGCCTAAAGTAAAGCAAGAGTAATGGAGTAACAGCATTACAATGTTCAACAAGGACAAAAGAAAACGTGTATTCCAGTTTGGAATATAAAAGTTTCCAAATTTAATGTGGCCTATCCCTCTGATTTTGTACCCCCGTATTACAGACACAAATCAACTACAGACATAGCTTATCATAGTACAGATAAGTAAAAGTAAAAAGTAAAGCTATCTCTGTAACAGACCGTGAAAGCCCATGGGATTGTGAGATGTTGAGGGTCTCATGTTATCTAGACAATCGGCTCAAAGATGGCGGTAAGGTTGTCAGCCTTATGCGCTGGCAGCGCTTTACTCCCCAGTTAAAAATCACATTCTATTAAGAACAAAGGTAATGAATAAAACACATTCTTTCTTTCTTCCATGGGTTATTTTATGTTGCTGCCAATAGCTGGACTGTATAACATCAGATGGTAGGATGATGGATGAATGATAAACTGGAAAGAATATGGAAGTGGTCATGACCTAATCAAGGTAATAACCTGACATTTGCCTTGAGGGAGACAGGAAAATAATGATGCCAACAGAGTCACCATACCCAGTGTCCTGCCTAGGATTCAAACAAAGTATTTTCCGAAAATGATTCTGGAACATCAACGCTATACTAACCTGCCCCATTGAACAGAATAAGTATTAAACCACAAGAACATACATTATTTTGTCATGTTCTGTTAAATATTCACTGCATCATGCCCCACTTTTTACTGGGCTGCTTCTGTGAAAACTGATAAAAGTTCTACTTAAGCTTCCTGCAAATAGTGTTTATAATAGACTGATATAGATCAAAATTAAATTTTCCTAACAAATTTTTGTGTCAGAATCCGCCTCCCATACCACATTTATTCAAAACCTGTTTAGTACTTTCAAAAATGAAACATGCACATGGATATATAGACAGATATAACCTTACTATTGCATGTTCATTTTATGCACTTCAATGAAAAAATATACAAGTAAACATAGACTGTCACTTTTATGTTCTCTGATATATCTATTACATTAAACATGCACAATTAAATTCCAATCTGTACAATGAATACAATGTTAGAAAGGTGACTGTTAAAAACTACAATTATATTTAAGGTGTCAATATAATATATTAGCATAATCTAACTAGCCACACCCAGCAATAACATACACTGCTCTAGCATACCATAAAGATTATTAATTGAATATGAATGCACTTTATCTGAATTTGATTTGTGTCATTCTGGTCCATCAGACAATCAATTGCAAAGACAAAACAACTCAGTTCAGTGTGACTACTTAAGTTTTTACTACTTGAAAACTTAGTACCCTTACATGTTTCGGTCCTTACAAGCCATCTTCAGAGGGAACATCGATACTTATTTGGGAACTACTATCACAATTGTTCTGAGTGCTAAATTACATACACACACAATGCCTGGAATGCAGAATATACACAGAATCCAACTTTTCCACAATCACAGCAGCTTTCCTGGTATATTAAAGTTTTTAAAACTTTGTTGTTTAAGTTAAAATTTATAAACAAAGTAGGTTTGTGTCCCTTCTCCTATCGTGCCGCCTATCTATCGTGAGAAGGAGATTCTTGGTATTGTCCTGTGTTTGTTCATGGCGTGAAAACAACACAGCACACCACGAACAAACACAGAATGATACCAAGAATCTCCTTCTCAAGATAGACAGGCGGCACAAGTTCAGCCCCATCAAGAAAGACGACAGGAGAAGGGACACGAACCTACTTGGTTTATAAATTTTAACTTAAACAACAAAGTTTTAAAAACTTTAATATACCAGGAAAGCTGCTGTGATTGTGAAAAGTTGGATTTTGTGTATATTGTGCATTCCAGGCATTGTGTGTGTATGTAGTTTAGCACTCAGAACAACTGTGATAGTAGTTCCCAAATAAGTATCGATGTTCCCTCTGAAGATGGCCCGTAAGGACCAAAACATGTAAGGGTGCTAAGTTTTCAAGTAGTAAAAACTTAAGTAGTCACACTGGACAGAGTTGTTTTGCCTTTGCACTTTATCTATTTATTCACACATTTCTTTTCATTTAATGCAAGTGTTGATATGACTCAGCAAATGGATTAACTTGCAGCAGCATCTTGTCCACTCATTGTCCATATCCTAGCTTGTTTCTCTCATTTGGATATAGCAATGAGACCAAATGGTAAATCTAGCCATGTATCCAGAAACAATATTCATCATTGCCAGATGGCATTTAATCTCCATTCCCACTGATATCATATATGTTCTCTGGAGTTATTTGCTTTATGTTTATCCCCTGTAAGCAGCTCTCATATTAGAGCCACAAGTGATGCCTATATTGGCATTCTAACAGTTCAATGCAACTGGCAAGAGCAGAAATATACCTAAGTGTCTTATACATATAAATATATAGAAAAAGATCTAGACGTTCAGGTGATCTCAGGTTAACCACACTCTGATTTAGATGGCATTAGATCTGATCTCCAGTTAGCTCCAGAAGCAGATTTTTCACTTTGCTGAATCTTAAGTCTCTTGGAAACATATATGATATTAGATCCTCAATGAAATTCAGAGAAACTGTAGATATTCTCTTGTGGCAATAATTTTCATCATTTGCAGTGGCAGAATCTGCCTCACTGATACTTCTGCATGAGTTCTTTTATCTTGCCAAGGGGGCAAAGGACAGGAAGGATGGAAACACAATAATTGGAGGTAATTACCACTCAGAGGCAAAAGCCAGGGAAAATTTTCTGCGAATATTAAAAAATTCAGGGATGTCTTATTACAGGAAACCTTTGTCATTCCATTTAAATTAATTGTAAGCATAAATTCCCAGACCAATTAATTGAAACTCCCTTTATTCAGTATGTTACGCATGACATATGAAATTTAATTTTATCATGTTCTGCTACTTTATGCATATTTTATGTTATGAAAGATAATCAATGTACATGTCAAATTTGCTACTTACTTGTATGTAGGTAGAGTGGATTTGGTTTCTTTTACATATGCAAGGTACAACTTCCACAAGTCGATGTTCAGCACCTTCATCAAACAGCGTTGAAACAACTGTGGAGAAAGGAAAAAATGCAGACAGTAACACAAAACATGGGCTCAGTATCATATGGAAATAAATGTAAACAATTTTTTAAGTTATCTACACACTTATGACTAATGCTTTTCAAAATGATTCCTACTCCAGTCATCAGAATATCAATGAAATGCCTATATTAAAAGCTTCTATCCTTTAAGACCTAACTGTACATTCAATTTACAGGCATGACACACAGTTCCAAGACAGAAACTCACATTTCATAATTTGAAAAATGGTAAAAATCATATCCATAGATAGAATGTGTAAACCCACAGCATTCATAATTGTACATTTCCTTAATAATGGATTGCTTTCTCTGGAAGCAGATGGCCTATAACAAATAGGATTATGATATTTATATTTTCAGTTTATCATCGATTTCAATGTGCCATATTTGAGTAAACTCTATACATATATAATCTTCTGTTTATTTCATGTGTATTCAACAGCAAAATAATATGATCATCCGTGGTGTATATGTCTGCCGAGGCCATGAGCTACATCAACAGTACATCATATAAAGGGGTAAAACAGTAACATATCAGATATGACTTGAAATTCCATTAGGAAATACAGTATACTTCCACAGAAAGTCTAAACTGCATGGGGTCTATATTTATTTTATTTTGTCTGTCAAGATCATTTAGAACTTCTTTGATATGGTCATTATCATTTTTCCTAATCATAAAATTGCTTTAATAATGCAATGAGTAGAATCAGTTACAGATATATTATTTCTTGACTTTTCTTTCATTAGTGATACAAAGCACATATGTTATTTTTAATAACAATGGTGTCATAGCACAAACATAAACTACTTGTAATCATGATGGAATTTTATGGAATTGAAGGAGTTGCTGAGAAACTTATAAGATCCTATTTGAGAGGAAGATACCAGAGAGTAATTTTGTATGAAAACGGGAGTAAATGTTGTTCTGAATGGAAAGAAATGCAGTGTGGAGTGCCTCAGGGCTCTGTATTAGGCCCCGTGCTCTTTTTACTATATGTAAATGACTTACCAAAAATTATATCTGACCTATCCAAACCAATATTATTTGCAGATGATACAAGTATCCTTATCTTTGATAAGAATCCTGCGACATTTAAAATTAGAATAAATTATTTGAGATGATAAATGAATGGTTTAGGAAAAATGAGCTAGTAATAAATTATGAAAAAACTTATTTTCTACAGTTTAGAACTAAAAACAGTAAAAACTTAAATGTTCAAGTTAGTTATTTAAACAATCAAGTTCCAAGTATTTCTAATATATCGTTTCTGGGATTAAAAATTGGAAATTTTTTAATGTGGGAAAGTCATATTGATGCAGTAATTGATAAGTTAAACAGATCCTGTTTTGCAATCCAAACAGTTAAATCCTTTTTACCACTGGAGACATTAAAAATGACGTATTTTTCCTATGTACATTCTATAATAACATATGGATTAATATTCTGGTGTAACTCCCCGCATAGTATAAAAGTGTTTAGGATGCAGAAAAGGATAATTAGGATTATAACAAATACAACAAAGAGAACATCGTGTCATAGTTTGTTTCAAGAATTGGATATCTTCCCACTACAAGCTCAATATATGTTGTCAATTTCCCTGTTTGTTATAGTAAATAAGGAATTATTCACATTCAACTCACAAATGCATAACTGTAGTACCAGATCTATCTGTGATCTGCATTATCCGCAAACTAGTCTAACACAATTCCAAAAAGGAATATGTTACATGGGGGTAAAGATCTTTAATCATTTGCCACCAAAAATCAAATCTATGTCTAATGACTTGAAAA